TTTTTTGTATAAATGCATTATGTTCTTCTAACTAATACCTGAAGGTATTGAGAATCACATGTTGATTGTGCTGAAGATATTTTCTACTTGGCTCTGGTGTATAGCGGGGAAAATCTCCTCCAACTTTAGAACATTTTCACAATCTTTTGAGGTGTTGGTGATTTCCAAACCCAATCAGAAGCATGCAATATGCTCTACCCTTATTACAGTCTGTTATTTGGCTAAGAGTGATATAGACATAGTTTTAAATGGTGCCGCCATGGAGAGAGGTGGGAAAAAAAAATGTTGGATCACAGATCAGACTCTTGTACTTTTTTTTTTAGAACTAGGGTTTTTTGGATTAGGGCAAATTACCTCCATAAGCTACTTGGATCTGAAATTAGGAGGGACCGACAGCCGGCCCATTCCATTTCAGACCTCCGTTCAAAGCAGGCCGCTGCTGTGCTTCTGTCCGGCCCCCTGTGTCCTTTTTTAGTTTTGTTTCTTTTCCGTTTATTTTGCCGTTTTCTATTCGTTTTTACTTTGTTTATGTGACATGTAATGGTTAACAGGTAAAAGCTAAAATCTTAGGTCCAAATTGTACATTAAATGTGCTGCTTTTAAGGAAAATTTATCCATTTATTTTCTGTTTCACTTGATTCCCGCGACATAATCTTAATATATTGTTTTTCATATCAGGAGTATAGTTATCACATTTAGATTTTAAGTATTGCAAATTGGGCCATTTTTTATTTGAACCGTTTATCATTTTATTGTTCTTTAAATTTGTTTTACTTTATGTTTCTAATGATATTTTTAGATTCCAATTTTCTTGTGTTCTGTACTTGTGACTTGTGTTCATGTCTTCTTGGGAGATATTTTGTGGTTGTTTTTTGCCTATTGAACTTAAATACATAATGGGCCATCTAATTTATTTTTATTTTTTTACATTTTGGTGTCTGTTGCCGAGGCATCGCCATTCACCATTTAAATCTATGGATGTTGATTTGACTTTTTTGCATAATGAAATGTCTCATCTCATCAGATTAATTGAACATTAATCGTTGTATGCTCACATACGGATACGTGTTAAAGCAGAGATGGAAAGTTCTGAATCTTCCTCTAAAGTATTTATGGCAAAAACTTTGTTGATACAGTATGAGCCAGAACTCTTCCCCGGATTAATATACCGTATGAAGCAGCCGAAGATAGTGCTGCTAATTTTTGTCTCGGGAAAGATTGTTCTCACGGGTGCGAAGGTTGTGAAAATGGTTTATTCTTATCTATTTTATTTTTGATGTGTCTTTATATATACCTGTAAAATTTTCAGGTCAGGGAAGAGACCTATACTGCCTTTGAAAATATATACCCAGTGCTCACTGAATTCCGGAAAGTTCAGCAATGGTAAGGAAAATGATGGTCTTGATTGCTGTATTGTGTTCTAATTTCTTGTGAAAATATGTTCTATTTGCTCCCTGGGGTTTGGGTATAAATACTATTTAACTGGGACATATCATCAATCTATTCGCTTGCACTATTACTTATAGCAATATATTGGTCCAAGAGTAGTAAATATTTAAGCAAGTCAATGGTCAAAGTTCTATGAATTGTTTACTAATGCAAGTGTTCAAATATAATGCTTGGAAAACTTTCATATTTTGGTGCCAGAGATCAGATGTTTTGGCTGGTCACTACTCTACCAAATTTATCTGTAATTAGTAAGTGGATTGTGTTTGATAATTTAGATAAAGGAAGGAGGCAACTCTTGTTTTTATCTCTTGAAATATGTTTTTTGAATTATTATAGAAAGTGCACTGAATATTCTTCTATCATTTTGTAGATTTAATCAGGAATTGAGCACCATCTCTGAAGGGTCATGAAGAGTTGAAGAACATCTTGAATTGCTTCAAACTATCATGGAGTTTACCTGTGCATACCTGTAATGATGGAATTGTCTCCTTTAGAATATGAAGTCCTCGATTTTGGCATTTTTCACGTTGCCTTTTCAATTGTGTACTTATGAAATCAAATTGTACCGAGAGATGAGAGGCTAATGAACTGGTCATGATGTTGGCGCTTTATATGCACTAATCGAGCAATTTGAGCTTACTCATCGAACAATTTCATTTTCAGCCTTCTTAGGTCTTTGTCACAAATTAGTAGAGGCTTCAACTTTGATTAGGAGTTGCTACTTCACATTTCTGTTGATCTTGTTTTGTTTCTTTGTGTGAGCTTGTAAAACTTTGGAACATTGAAGATATATATATAATGCATTCATATTCAAAGCAGCTCTTCACATTTATGTAGATCTTGCTTTGTTTCTTTGTGTGAGCTTGTAAACTTTGGAACATCGGATACATTTATATATTATGCATTCCTGTATTCCCTTCTTCTTCTTCAGATGTCAATCATATTTAACTAGTATGAATCCCGTGCGATAAATGATAAGAGATATTCTTTAATATTTGTAATTTACAATATTCATTAAGTAATATTTAAAAATTAAAAATATAGAATCAATATGGAATACAATTTACCTATATTAATTTTTTAAAAATGTTATATGAAATTTCAGTTGTGCAAAATTACATAAAACATGTTTATTTAAACGTGACAGATAATAAATTACATTATATTTCTTCGCCGGCGATTTGTGCCTTTCAGCGGCCAACCGGCTAGCTGGTGGACAGCACTTAGCCAGGCGTCCAAGCTATTGCCCGGTGCTATTCTCCTTCGTCTCACGCGCCGAGGGTTGTGGATGGTGGTTTTCGGTGGATTTCTTGGATCTACGCTTGAAGGTCGCCGGAGCTCCTGGATGGTGAGGCTGGGTGGAGTGCGACGACACTGGCTGGAAGCGGCTCAGGTTGCTTGCGTCGTCCTTGTTCGGGTGTTTCCTCTCAATTGTTTCTGTCGACGACCTCGTCTCCTCTTTTGTTGTTTCGCCGGTGTCGATTCTGGGTCTCTGCTCGACGGCACTCTGGTGTGGCAGCGGATAGGCCGGGGTTCATTTTCGGGGGCTGCGAGGGGAGCTCGGGATCGTTATGATTGTGGCGGAGTAACCGGAGCTTTGATGTCGATTCGTGTCCCTTCTCCCCTGTTCTCTGGTGCTGAATCCGACGGAGGACCAATGTCGTTGAAATTGACTAGTGGTGTTAGCCAGTGTTCGGGACGTAGGTGGGTTTGGGAAGAGTCGGCATTTTTCAGCCGGAGAGCAGGTCAGTTCTTGGATTGATTCGGGATGTGGTCTTCGTCTTTGCTAGGCGTTCGACAGCAGTGGTGGGCGTACTTCTCGTGCCTCAGGTCTCTTCTAGGAGTCGTCTATTGTGTCCTCTCGTTCAGTTCAGGCATTCTGCTGAGGGAGGGCTTGATTTCTTATATGTAGTTTTTGTTTTCTGGATGTATTTCGTTTGTTTTTCTGTTTTGTCTCATGTTTTTGGTTTGAACCATTTGGTCTTTGTGCACCCGGGTGTGAGCTTATTATCCTATTGGGGTCCCCCACCCGGGCATTATCCTGTTGGGATCTTTTTAGTTGTTTTAGTTTGTTCGTGGTAGTTGCTTTTGTGTAGTTGCGAATTTGTCTTTTTAGCGTTTCTAGCAGGCTCTAGGCGATCTCCGGATCAACATTCCAGTCTTTTCAGCCTTTGGTTGTATTATTCAGCTTTTGGTTGTTTTCTATTCGCACTTTGTGCGGTTTTTATTAATATAATACCTTTATCGTTTTGGGAAAAAAATAATTAAAATGAATTTTTTTTATAACCTATCCAAATCAAGTGCGAAAATATTATATGAAAAGTTACAAACAGACGGAGATAATTGGTAAAGTGCTAAATAGTATGAGATAAAGTATGCGACAAACAAGCCAATATAATTGATAAAGTGGGAAAAAATTATGCAACAAACCTACGAAGATAATTGATTCGAAAAGCTGTGCGACAGATAGTCGAAGATAATTGATAAAGTGCAAAAATATTATGCGAAAAATATGTGACAAACAGACGGAGATAATTGATAAAGTGCTAATAAGTTATGCGACAAACAAGCGAACATAATAGATAAAATGCATTAGACATAAGAAGATAATTGATAAAATGTGAAATAACTATGTGACAGACATGTTGATGTCGAAAATTGACCAACAATGTGTTCGAACCGTATACTTGGATGTATACTTCGTTCGGTCTGCACGAATAGGTGTTTTATGTGGTATTCGGTGTCAAGACAGTACGAATGTGTACTCTATTCGTGACTTATCTGATATTTAATGAGAGCATTTACTCATTGCATTTAATGTTGCCTCTTGCTCCTTATATAGGAAGTGTGAGGGCTTGTTACATGCCATCTTTTGGCTTTCTTTTTCCTTTTTACTTTACAAGATATGAACTTGATATTTAGTCATACCATATTCAATGCTATTGTACTACAAAAACACCATCTCAATAAAGTAAACCTCCCCGAGTTGTGACACACGTCCCACATTACTGAGCACCATTAGATGATTGATTTCCGAATCCTGCCGCATTAAATGCGTATTGTACGGGCGATGTCATGATAATGATGGGCTTCATTTGGACACTCCACATTCTCTTCGCTCGGTTCTTACACCTATTCGGTCCTTCCTCTGCTTCTCCGGTTATGAACCCAAAATGGGTTCATTATTGATATAATTCTTATCCGTTCGGTCTCCACCACGTACAAAGGCCCCCAGGTTCGGCATATGTGGGTCGGTTCGGGGTAGTCATATTTGCCGAGACTGCTTCAAGTGATCGAAGTGAGCCAAACTAGATAAAGAATTAAATTAAATGCGGTTTCATGAAAAGCCCCGCCTTTTCGCTTATCTGGGCCGACAATTACTGCCCCCTCTCGACGTGTCGCGATCGCATTGGTCCCATGATAATGATGGCGTAAGCGAAACGCCTTTTTGCCTTGCACCGTCTCAGATCTGAATCGCTGTCGCTTCATGAATCCAAATCGTCACCTATAAATATCGTGCTTCCTGAGCCCATAAACTTCACAAACTTCTCGCAAAATTCCCATTCTCTCTCGTTCTTTCAAGGTCGAACACTGCGTTTGTTCATTCGGTTCCTTCGAAGTCTTAGTTCTCGATAAGGTATTTTTTTCTTTTCTTCTGCAACCATTTCTTCTTTTTGATTTGGTCTTCCCTTTTCGAATAGTCCCTTTTCGAATAGCCCAGTATGTCTTCACCTTCCGAGAGCTACAATAAAGAGCAGTACGAGGAGGCCCTTCAGGGGGCACGGCGGGCCAATTGAGAATGCCCCTTGCTAAGGAGAGCGCGGATGAGGATCGAAAAGTTGAGGAATCGGTTGTTGCCGTCCCGCAGGTATTGGAGACGACCGTATCGCGAATGGCCGACTCAGAATTGGTTCACACTTGCCGCTACACCCAGTGATATGACCGATGACCGGGTGGTGAGATTACGAACCTCTATTCGTCTTCCTCGAGGGCTGCGGATGTTCGCCCCGTATAGGCATGAGCGCATTCATTGCCCACCTCCCGGATACGTTGGTGTCGCCGAATGGTCCATCGTATTCGGTTTGCGCTTCCCTCTGCCCCGTGTCCTGACCGTATACCTCCGAGATTGGGGTATTGGTTTTAGCCAGATTTCCCCGCTTGTGTGGCTGAGGATAATCAGCCTTCTCGTCCTCTTCCATGAGAAGGGTTGGGAATCTCCGAGTTGCAATGATATTCGGGCTTTGTTTCTTTTTAAAGAGACTAGAAAGAGATCCGGGAAATTTTCTATCTCTGTCGAGACGCTACTTACAGTAATTTGATCAGAAAAGTTCCCGAAACCATCAGCAAATACAAGAAATCTTGGTTCTGGGTTGGTTGGCAGTGGCAGACCCTTCGGTCCGAAGGAGACCCAGAGACATCCGAATTCTTAACAGTCCCTACTAGATTTGTATCAAAAATGGGTTAGTTTAGCTTCTTCGATTTTACTTCGGTCACTTGTTCTGATTCATGCCATTTTTGTTCGTACTAACAGGTGCGACTCGTTGTTTCAGCCAACCCAAAACACGTACCAGAGCTGCGGGAGTCGTTTACTCGAAAGTTGGACGAGTTGCTGAATCTAGACCCATCTTTGAGAGAGTGGCCCTTGTTGGTTGAAGACGGTCGTTTGGCTGGTGCGCATCTTTGTTCAGGTCATATCGAACCGGCTTGTGAACCGACTAAGCACACCTCCCTTAACCGTTCACCTTTTATTTTTTATTATTATTTTTTTCTTACATGTATGTCGGACCCTTTCATCGTTAACCATATGCCACTTGGCAGCCTATTATCCTCTGGACGATTTCAAAGGAGTCGGTACTGACGTTGCGGCGAAGAGAATAGCCAAGGGCAAAGGGAAGAAGGTTGCCTCCGATTTGAAGAAAAGGAAGAAACAATCTGAGTCGACTGAAGAGATGGACCGCTTAGCAATGTTGGAGAAAATGCAGGCAGCCGCGAAGCAGGCCGCAACCAAACCGGTTGTCGAACAGAACGTGGAGGTCATCGCCTCGTCGGGTGAGGAGGACGAACAGCAATTGCAGGATGTTCGCCAAAAGAGGCGTAAACGGGCAGGAGAGGGTGGTAGCGAACCGGCTGGAAAAAAACCAGTCTCGTCGATACCTGTCGAGCAGGGATCTGCTATTGATCCTGGCGACCGAACGGACCAGGTTGGCTTCTTCGGAGAAAAAGACGCTCACGTTCATCAGGATGGCTCAAGTACCTATCTGCCGATCGATCCAGCGAGGGTAGCGCGAACCGAGCGTCTGAAAGGAGTGGCTGACGAGTGGTTCGTGCGGTTTAAGTCAGTTGGGCGTCCGCACATTCCTAACGTCGCTAAGTGGCCCGCGCATGTGTTGGAGTCGGCCGTGGTGCCACTCATGAGCTGGGACGTTGAGGCCGAGCAAGTGGTTCAGGGGCTAAACCCGCTCGAGAAAATGGAGCATTCGGCGGGTGCTTTGGCCCGAGCCATGTGCACCCAGGCGGCGGCCATGGCTGAGTTCCGCAAGATTGCCGGCGAGCTTGTTAACCTGAGGGCTGATCATGCCAACTGCGCGGATAAAATTCGTACTTTGAGACAGTGTTTTAAATACCGTACCGGTTATCATACCGGACGAGCCAACCGTACGCGGTTCAACCGGTACGACCGGTATTATTGTCTATTTTACCGGTTTCAATAAATATTAAATTAATTTGTTAATATAATATAAATGATGTACAAAACTAACTTTAACTAATAGTAAAATTAATTAACATCTAATAACAATGTAAACATATTAAAATTAAATGTAGAACTTTCAATTTATATAAATAAATTAATGAAAATATATTAAAAA